TACATTTTATTGTTGGATGTAACTGGGACCCTGTGTACATAATTTCGCTCCACCACATGTACCACATGAGGTGCGAATGACAATAAAGAAACTCTGACTCTGACGCTGATATTCTCCAAGATTATTCCCACCGTTCATGGGTGCTGGTGGTATCAGATGCTGTGCAGTTGGAAGGATTTTTACTGAAATTTTTTTAGTTTTGGACATTTGTTATGATGTGTAACCATGGCAACAAGGCAGTTTTCTACAACCAACAGCAGCTGATTAACATCTCAAAAGCTCAAATAATATCTCAACTACAGCCCCAAATCTCAAGTGAGTTGAAAAAGATGTTCTGTGGACGCATTCTCATCTCCCTGCCAGCTGTGCTCGAGTGCCTGACCACTGTGATCCTGGAACTAGAAGGAAACATGGCTCATGACAGCAGAAGGACAGGATCGTCCCTGAGCACCTACAGTTGGCTGTCTACAGCGACGAGGAGCTCGGCAGTCTGCTGGGAGGAGTGGCCATCGCTTTGGGAGGAGTTCTGCCCAGCATTTGGGCGGTCCTACAGCCCGAGGGGAACCGAGAGGCCAGACGAGTCTGGGTAGACGGATCGGACGGCATCTGCAACCAGTTTCTTAGGTTCCACTGTGGGATGGACCTTTACAAGAGATCCTTCCCGCCTACAGCCATCAGCATCTATAACATCGCTTAATGAAATGAGCATAACGAGTTACAACAACAAATAATTTCCCTCTGGGATTAATAAAGTATTTTTGAATTGAATTTTTTTAATTGAATCCAGAATTCACCAGGCAAACAGCAAATAAACAATTGTCATCATGAATCCAATTTGTTTCTGTCGAGGTAAGAGGGTCCTCCTTATGCCCTGACTCCTTTTGGGAGAAGTTGATCAATTTTGTTGAGAGACCAGCTGATCATTCGAAATAAGAGGTATGCAGAACAAAAGAGGCTTGACTTTTAGGAGGTATTTGATTTGTAGAAGTTTGGTTATTAGAGGAAGTGGCTGATCTTCCATTAGTAACTGTGTCAAATAAAGAACTAGAAGCAACAAAATGTTTGTTGAAACAGTTCAGGATCTCGTGCTGATTTGACACAGGAACAGAGTTGATGAGAAGTTGTCATGGGAGGTCAGATGATCGGGGGGTGCCTGAGAGAGATTTGATGGTTTTCCAGAATCTGTTAGGGTCATTTAGATTTTTGGAGGTCTGAGATAAGAAATAGTTGTGTTTTGCTGCTTTGACAGCAGTTGTGCATTTATTCCTCATCTGTCGAAAAGTCAACCAATCAGTGTCTGAGTCAGATTTTCTCGCTGTGGCCCAAAGATGATCTCTCCTGTGCAGGAGGTCAGCTAGCTCTGGAGTAAACCAGGGGCTGTCTCGTCCTTTTATTCTGAACTGACAAAAAGGAGCATGTTTGTTCACAAAATAAATGAAATTATTATGAAAATAGTTCCAAGCGGAATTCACATCATCAATTAATAGAATACGATGCCAGTCAAAGTGAGACAGATCCCAGAGGAATGACTGTTCACAAAAACATTTCAGATCCTTTTTTTGAATTAATCTGGGCTTAGAAGGTGGAAGATTAATATCTCTGAGAGTCACTGTCACACATTGATCACTCAGAATGTTAGCGAATACACCTGTACCAGGGAATTATATATATATTATATATATATATGTATTATATATATTATTATAAATATATATATGTACATAAAAAGGAAGAAAAAGCCACAGGCAAAGTAGAATGTTCAAAACAGAAACAATATCATCCATTTTGGTTGTGTTTGGTTGTCTTTTCCAGCTCTTCTTCTTCTAATACATGTTAGTGGTGGTTAGTAAAGAGTTTAATGTAGCACTAGCACCACCAGCTGGTTAGGCGCGTTTATATTAATGATCCGCCCACTAAAGGTGAACTATCCACCCACTAAAGGGGAACTATGAGAGCTGTGGAGACAGAAATAAACCAGTCCCACCGGAACCGGCCTAAATAAGGCCCAATAGGGTCCTACAAGAACCGGACTTGTGGATAAGGGGCTTAAGTTTTCTCGCTGACTGTAACTACCATACCCACCACTGCACCCAGTATTCACTAGTTAATTGGTCATCATTAACTTCACACAGACTCTCTCACTGGTACATTTTCATCTTTAAATCACTTCTTGGTCTGCTGCCTTCATACATCTCCTCCTACATGTCTCTGTGTGAGTGCAGCTACAGCGTGCGCTCTCAGGACATTATTACCTGCAGTGTTCCTTCAGTGAGGACTGAACTAGACAAAAGGACCTTCTCCTACTCCACTCCTGTTTCCTGGAATATCTTGTAAAAAGATCTGAAGCTCTTGACCTTGACCTCTCTAAGTAGCTTTAAAAATCTATTGGACTCCTGGCAGGGACCAATGCAGACATGTTCCTGTTTTTAGTTTTATACATCGCCTTATAACCTATCTGTTTTTTTGTTATGTTTTCTTTTAAATACCATTTTATTTTCACTTGTAAAAAAAAAAAATCTCAATTTGTACGCTTCCTTTATGATTGTCTATTGTTGTCTTTCTTGTTCTACTGTTGTCATCATTCTTTGTTAAAAGTCAGGTCTCTTTTGTAAATGATTCCCGAGGCTCAGTGGGATTAACCTGTAGAAATAACTGTTGAAAGAATGAAAAATCAAGTTTTTGCCAGACTGGCAAATCTGCTGCTGAGCCAATGAAAACCTGTCCAGGACTGAGTCCAAGTCTCAGAGGTCTCCTGGTCCTGACTATAAGACAAGCTGCAGTTTCTGAACGTGACCCGCTATGATCATTTGTTTCCAGTCAGAACATTGAATGTTTTTTTTTAAATCACAATTGATCAGAATCTGAATCATCTGCTGTCTGACTGGACCGTTTGATCTGACACCGAGCCGTCACTGTCCAATCAGGTGAAGATTAGAATTCCCTGATACCTTCAGGGACACAGGTGCAGTGTGGGTATTTTGATTGCTGAGTTTCAGTTTTGTGTCAGACAACAAAAGTTCTAGAGGACATCAGTTTCCTTCAAACTCACAATGAGTCCACAAAACCATGTTGTTGAGCAGGTGAACCAGAACCAACCCGTGTCCCGTATGTTGCTGTGATCCAGGTGTTGGTGCGCCCTGATGGGTCAGGTGACCTGTACGGCAGGATGCAGGTGGACGATGGTGGCGCCGTCAGTGCTGACCTCCTATTGGACAAGAGCCAGCAGCATGTCTACGTGTTAACTGACAGCAAGGTGAAGGAAAGCTGTGCTCCATTGTGTCTCACCCCTTGTCCTCCTCCTGTCCTCTTTCTCTCCTTCTGTCTACATTTTGTCTCCTCTTCTTGTCTTGTCCTCCTTATGTCCTGTTTATGTTCTTTTGTTCTCTGCTTGTCCTCCCCCAGTCCTAGTTCTGTCCTTCTATCCTCCTTATGTCTTCATGTGCTAGTTTTGTCCTTCTGTTGTTTTCTTGTCCTCCTCATGTCCTAGTTCTGTCCTTGTGTTTCCTCATGTCCTCCTCCAGTCCTACTTCTGTCTTTCTGTTGTCCTCTTGTCCTCCTTCAGTCCTAGTTATGTCCTGTTTTCCTCTTGTCAACCTCCAGTCCTACTTCTGTCCTTCTGTTGTCCTCCTGTCCTCCTAATGTCCTAGTTCGATCTTTCTGTTGTCTTCTTGTCCTCCTCTTGTCCTTGTTCTGTCCTTCTGTTGTCCTATTGTCCTCCTCCAGTCCAAGTTCTGTCTGTCTGTTGTCCTCTTGTCTTCCTCCAGTTCTACTTCTGTCATTCTGTTATCCTCTTGTCCTCCTCATGTCCCAGTTCTGTATTTCTTTTCTTCACTTGTCCTCCTCCAGTCCTAGTTCTGTACTTTTGTCCTCCTCATGTCCTTATGTTGTATTTTTGTCCTTCAGTTATCCTGTTGTCCTCATGCAGTCTTGGTTCTGTCCTTCTGACCTCCTCTTGTCCTCATGTCCTTGTTCTGTCCTTCTGGCCCCTTTATGTTCTCCTCTTGTCCTTGTTCTGACCTTCTGTTCTCCTCTGGTCTTCCTCATGTCCTAGTTCTGTCCCTCTGTTCTCCGCTTGTCTTCTTCATGACCTTCAATTCAATTCAATTCAGTTTATTTATAAAGCACCAAATCACAACAAGTTGTCTCAGGGACTTTACAGGAACATTCACATAAAAGCCAGTTAGTAAAGTTCTCTATCTAAGGAATCCAGCAGACAAGTTGAATCTTGGCTTCGTTGCAGTCTCCCATCCTGAGCAAGCACAGTGGAGACAGTGGAAAGAAAAACTCCCTTTAACAGGAAGAAACCTCCAGCAGAACCAGGATCAGGACAAGAGACCATCTGCTTTGACCGGCTGGTTGAGAGGACAGGAAGGAGAGACAGACGAACACAGAATGGTAGGTCCAGGTATAGGTCCAGGTCCAGATATAGGTCCAGATATAGGTCCAGATATAGGTCCAGATATAGGTCCAGATATAGGTCCAGGTATAGGTCCAGGTGTATCTGAAAGACAAAAAACACATGTTAAGGATAGAAAAAATAATTACAAATACAAAACAGGTTGAGCAGAGTAAGTAAAGACAGTAGCAGAGTGAAAAACTGGTCAGTTTGTCCTCCAGCAGTCTAAGTCTATAGCAGCAGAACTAAGGGACAGCTCAGGAAACCCAAGCCGACCCTAACTATAGGATTTTTCAAAAAGGAAAGTCTTAATCCCAGTCTTAAAATTGGACAATGTGTCAGCCTCATGGACAGAGATTGGAAGTTGGTTCCACAAGAGAGGAGCCTGATAACTGAAAGATCTTCATCACTTTATGTTTTTGTAAACTCTAGGAACCACAAGTAAACCTGCAGTCTGAGAGTGAAGTTCTCTGTTAGTAAAATATGGAACAATAAAATCTGTAATATAAGATGGAGCTAGGTTGTTGAGAGCTTTGTAGGTTAGAAGTAAGATTTTGAATTCTATTCTGGATTTGACAGGGAGCCATTGGAGAGAAGCTAAAACTGGAGAGAAACTAAAACTGGAGAGATATGATCTCTCCCAGTAACTCCAGTTAAGACTCTGGCAGCAGCATTTTGGATCAACTGAAGACGTTTTAAAGAAGTATTTGGACACCCAGATAATAAACCATTGCAATAGTCCAGTCTAGACGTGACAAATGCATGGACCAGTTTTTCTGCATCATCTTTAGATCAGATGTTTCTAATGTTAGTGATATTACGCAGGTGGAAGAAGGAGGTTCTAGTAACGTTTTTAATGTGGGGGATAAAAGACATGTCCTGATCAAAAATAACACCAAGATGTTTAACTTTAGAGCTGGAGGACAGATTAATGCATCTAAGGAGGGAGAAAGACTGAAACATTCATTCCTAAGGTGCTCAGGTCCAAAAACCAAAACCTCAGTCTTGTCTGGTCAACAGGAGAAAATTAAGGGTCATCCAGGTTTTTATGTCTTTAAGACATGCTTGTAGTCTAAGTAGCTGATTGGATTCATTGGGTTTAATGGACAAATATAATTGTGTGTCATCAGCATAACAATGAAAATTTGTCCCATGCTGTTTAATAATTTTACATAATGGAAGCATATATAAAGTAAAGAGTATTTGCCCAAGCACTGAGCCCTGAGGAACTCCATGATTAATTTTGGTGTATGAAGAAGATTTATTATTTACATTTACAAACTGGAATCTATTAGATAGATATGATTTAAACCATTTTAGAGCCGTTCCTGTAATCCCAACATCATATTCAAGTCTCTGTAGTAAAATATTGTGATCAACTGTATCAAATGAAGGACCCCACCCACCCAGCACACACACTTTTTGCTCCACTCCCCTCAGGAAGGAGGTTAAGGAGCATTGAGTGTAGAACCACTAGACTGAGGAACAGCTTCTACCCTGAGGCTGTTAGACTCATGAATCTCTAACCAGAATAATCACTGTGAAAAACCACATCATGTTGCTGCTGATCTGTTTCATGTTGCTGCTGATCTGTTTCATGTTGCTGCTGATCTGTTTCAATGTTGATGTGTTCATGCGTGCACATCTGCTCACAGACTCATGTTCATGTTTGTGCTGATGTTCAATGTTTTTATGTTATGAGTGCTTAGTGTATATTTAGTTGATGTTTTTCTTAGTTCATATCTTAGATGTTATTACTGTTTTTCTTATACATTTTATTGTTGGATGTAACTGGGACCCTGTGAACATAATTTCGCTCCACCACATGTACCACATGAGGTGTGAATGTTAATAAAGAAACTCTGACTCTGACTGACTCTGACTCAAATGCAGCACTGAGGTCTAACAGGACCAGTAGAGACACAAGTCCATTGTCTGAGGTCATGAGAATATCATTAGTGACTTTTACTAGTGCTGTTTCTGTGCTATGATGAGCTCTAAACCCTGACTGTCTAACAGACATGTGAATTATTTGGATGAGGTTATTATCTTTGACAATTCTGAGAGCTCAATAGGACAAAAACTGTCCAAACACAAATCATTCTCTAGTGAATTTTTTTTAAGTTGCCTCATTTGACAGGGGACTTGGGATAGTAGAAGGTAGGGGTTGAACGACTACATAATTTTTAAACTCTACATTAACATAATAAAACGTGTAGAACTCGAGTACTTGATGACGTCATAGTGTCAGGATTTTCTAGGCAGGAGCGAACCCAGTAGTGCAGACAGGGACTCAAACTCAGCAGAGTACAAAAATAGGTATTTAATGATAAATAAAGATACAAAATAACAGGCTGACAGGGCAGCAAAACTTACATGAACAGGAAGATAAGGCACGGGAAACTCAGGAGGACTCAGGGAACTCGGAAGACTCAGGGGAACACAGGAGACCCAACGAGTATGACGCCACAACGAACAAGACTGACAGACGGCTTATATACAGTGACAAGACGAGACGTGATTACGAACAGCTGGGACGAGACAAGGGTGGCACTAATTGAACGAACGAGAGAGCACTAGGCAACACAGACACAAACCGGGCCACAAAAAGGTACCATCCTTACACATAGGATCTAAAGATGCATAAGTAAATAAATAAATAAATCCGCAAAAAAGGTGATTATTTACAAAAGAAGACCAACAAAACATTGGGAGAGTATATTTTGCTCCTCCCATTTATCTTACAGCAAATAAGTCAGAGGAAAAACTAACCTATTAGTTTTTATTATTAAGCTGCAAAAGTGAAAGAAACGTGCAGCACGTCAAAAACTAAATTAAAAACAGTGGGGGGGTCGACCACCCCGCACCACCGCCCACAGTGATGCACATTAGATTTTGTTTTAGAGATTAATGTTTATAGGTTTTTATAGGTTTAGAGATGAATATTTTTTGCTTTTTGTTTGTGAAACAAGGTCAAAGGAAGCTGGTTCTGGTTCGGTCGATTGGACCCGGTGTCACACCATATACTGTGACCTGCAACAGTGCATGCAACACCGCCCCCCACGGTCACAATATACGGTGGTTACAGAATATGGTGTAACACCGGTTCACAACAAGCTCCGAACAGTCAGGAAGTTGATTCATGTCCTGTTTCCTTACGGTAGTTGAACCAGAAGATTCATCTTTAGTGAAATATTTCCAGACTATTGATGCAGTTCTACCTGTTTGTAAAGACTGGACCTGCTCCACTCCATCCGTCTGCTTGGAGGAATCCATTTTGTAACCTGCGCCAGGTGCGGATCATGTGACGCAATGACGTAACGGCGACGTAATGACGTCACTAAGAATACTCTATGTGAAATTTTAAAACTCAATAGATGTCCTAGGAATTGATGTGTTGATTACTCAAGTAGTCTGTTAAAGCCCTAGTAGAAGGAAGGATGGTTTAAATTTTATCTCTAATTGAACTAATTGTATTTATAAAGAATCTCATGAAGTCATCACTACTTATAGTTGTAGGGATACATGGTTCAACAGAAATGGGACTTTTAATTAGTCTAGCAATAGTACTAAACAGAAACCTAGGGTTATTTTTATTCTCCTCTATTAAAGATGAGTAATATAAAGTTCTAGCTTTACGGAGAGCTTTTTTATATGTTAGCAGACTATCTTTCCAAGTTAAATAAAATTCTTCAACATTAGTAGAACGCCATTTTCTCTCCTGGTTTCTAGATGCTGCTTTAAAGTACGTAACTCAGAACTGAACCAAGGAGCCAGTTTCCTCTGATTGATTACTTTCTTTTTCAGTGGAGCAATTTTATCAAGTGAAGTTTGCATTGAAGTTGTAAGATGATCAACTAGATGATCTAAGTCTCTGTTCTCTGATGCATTACTCTGCAAGACAGAGGAAAACATTGATGGAAGAGATTGTTTCAATTTGGTTACAGCATTTTGTGATAAGCACCTGCTGAGATGAAATTTACTCTCAGTGACTGTGTAGTCATTTAATGTAAACTCAAAGTTATTAAAAAATGGTCGGACAGAACAGGATTTTGAGGAACTATTACCAAGTCCTTAATCTTTATACCATAGGTCAGAACTAAATTTGTGGGGAGTGGTGGCGCAGAGGTTAGAGAGGTGAGCCTGTGATCGGAAGATCGCCGGTTCACGCCCCGGTACTGTCAACATTAAAAATGCGGGTGGGGTAGGTGAAGCACCCACACTTGCCCCCACCCTCATTCGCCACACTCTGGGCCCATGGGCAAGGCCTTTAATCCCCCATTTGCTCCTTAAACAGATCTCTCTTGAAAATGAGTTCTCGTGGCTCAATGAGACTACCTGGATAAATAAAGGTAAATGGGGAAAAAGAAAAAAATGTCAAGAGTGTGATGATAAGAATGAGTAGATGTGCAGATGTTTTGGGTAAAACCAAATAACTCTATTAAATTATTAAAGGCTATGTTTAAGCTATCACTCTCAACATCCACATGAATATTGAAATCACCCATTATGATGATTTTATCAGTATTTAATAATAAGTCAGTTAATAATTCTGATAATTCAGACAAAAACTGAGAGTAAGCGCCTGGTGGACGATATATAACAACTAGTAAAAGTGGCTTTTCTGATTTCCATTTTGGATGAGAAAGACTGAGGGACAGTGATTCAAAAGAATCATAACTAATAACTGGTTTGGCATTAATCAATAATCCTGACTGAAAAATAGAAGCTACTCCTCCACCTCGGCCAGTTGTTCTAGGAACATGAACATTTAAATAATTAACAGGAGTGGATTCATTTATACCAACAAAATCCTCCTGTTGTAGCCAAGTTTCTGTCAGACACAATAAATCAATATCCTCATGTCCTAGTTCTGTCCTTCTGTTGTCCTGTTGTCCTCCTCCAGTCCTATTTCTGTCTTTTTGTTCTCCTCTTGTCTTCCTCATGTCCTTGTTCTGTCCTTATATTGTCCTCTTGCAATCCTCCGGTCCTAGTTCTGTGCTTATTTTGTCCTTTTGTCTTCCTCCAGTCCTTGTTATGTCCTATTGTTCTCCTTATGTCCTCCTCAAGACCTACTTCTTTCCTTCTGTTCTCTGTTTGTCCTCCTCTAGTCCTATTTATGTCATTTTGTTCTCCTCATGTCCACCTCATGTTCTTTTTCTGTCCTTCTGTTGTCCTCTTGTATTCCTAATGCCCTCATGTCTTATAGCTGTCCTTCTATGGTCCTCTTGTACTCATCCAGTCCTACTTCTGTCCTTCTTTTATCCTCTCATCCATCCTTATGTCCTAGTTCTGTCCTTCGGTTCTCCTCTTGTCCTCCTCGTGTCCTAGTTCTGTCCTTTTGTTCTCCTCTTGTCCTCCTCATGTCCTAGTTCTGTCCTTCTGTTTTCCTCTCATCCTCCTCATGTCCTAGTTTTGTCGTTTTTTTGGTCCTCTTGTCCTCCTCATGCCCTCATTTTTTTCCTTTCATGGTCCTTTTGTCCTCGAGTCCTAGTTCTATCCTTCTGTTGTCTTCTTGTCTTCCTCCAGTCCTAGTTCTATCCTTCTGTTCTCCTCTTGTCTTTCTCATGTCCTCGTTATTTCCTTTCATTGTCCTCTTGTCCTCCAGTCCTAGTTCTGTCCTTCTGTTGTCCTCTTATCCTTGTCATGTCCTAGTTTTGTCGTTTTGTGGTCCTCTTGTCATCCTCATGTCCTCATTTTTTTCCTTTCATGGTCCTCTTGTCCTCAAGTCCTAGTTCTGTCCTTCTGTTCTCCTTTTCAGAGTCAGTGATATTTATTTGTCATACTCCTCACACGTGGTACATGAGGTGGGACGAAACTATGTACACAGGGTCCCAGTTACATCCAACAAAAACACAAATTGTAAAGAAAAGTATTAGTAAGATCCGAGTCATGAACTAAGAATATACTACATTCACTAAACTAAGAACATACAAAGTACTAATGGTACAAAAACTATGTGCCAAAACAACAGCAGCACGAACATGAGTCTGTATGAATTGATGAGGACTAATGAACACAGCAACATGAAATAATCAGCAATTTTGTCCTCTTCATGTCATAGTTCTGTCCTTCTGTTCTCCTTTTGTCCTCCTCCAGTCCTAGTTCTGTCCTTCAGTTGTCCTCTTGTCCTTCTCTTGACCTCATGTCCTAGTTCTGTCCTTCAGTGTTCCTCTTGTCCTTCTCTTGACCTCATGTCCTAGTTCTGTCCTTCTGTTGACCTTTTGTCCTCCTCCAGTCTTAGTTCTGTCCTTCTCTTCTCCTCTCATCATCCTCACATCCTAGTTAGGTCCTTCTGTTCTCATCTTGTCTTTCTCATGTCCTCATGTTCTATTTCTGTCCTTTTGCTCTCCTCTTGTCCTCCTCACATCCTTGTTCTGTCCTTCTGTTTTACTCTTTTCCTCCTCATGGCCTAGATCTGTCCTTCTGTTCTCCTCTTGTCTTCCTCATGTCCCAGTTCTGTCCTTCTATTGTCCTCTTGTCCTCCTCATATCCCATTTTTGTTTTCTGTCCTTCTATTCTCCTCTTGTCTTCCTCATGTCCTCATGTCCTAGTTCTGTCCTTCTGTTGTCCTCTTCCAACCCTAGTTATGTCCTTCTGTTCTCTTCTTGTTTTCCTCATGTCCTCATGTTCCAGCAGAGAATTTACCTTTCTGTCTCCTCTGTCTTTCAGCTCTCAAAAGTCCCGGTTTCTTCCTGTGAGAGACAGACAGACTGTTTGTCCTGTTTGTCTACCAGAGACCCGTACTGCGGCTGGTGTGTCCTAGAGGGAAGGTTTGTCTGTCCTCCTGTCCATTTGTCCATTTAAGTCTCAGTTCTTCATTTTAAAACTTTTTTTGGTTGAACTTCCTGTTTTCACGTCTGTTTGTACTGAATTGAACTGATGTAGATATCAATCAGTTAGGGTTCAATCACGATTGATTATTGTTCAGTTTATGATTGATCAATGTTGAGATATTGATTGATCAATGATGGGATACTGATTGATCACTGATGGTATACTGATTGATCAGTGATGGGATACTGATTGATCAAGGATGGGATACCGATTGATCAATTATGATATACTGATTGATCAATGATGGGATACTGATTGATAAATGATAGGATATTGATTGATCAATGATGGAATACTGATTGATCAATGATGGGATATTGATTGATCAGTGATGTATACTGATTGATCAGTGATGGGATACTGATTGATCAATGATGGGATACTGATTGATCAATGATGGTATACTGATTGATCAGTGATGGGATACTGATTGATCAATGTTGGGATACTGATTGATCAATGATGTGATATTGATTGATCAATGATGGGATACTGACTCATCAATGATGGTATAGTGATCGATCAATGATGGTATATCAGTTGATCAGTGGTGGTATATTGATTGATCAATGATGGGATCTCAATTAATAAATGATGGGATACTGATTGATCTTGACAGGTGTTCCCGTAAATGTCAGTGTCAGCGCCACCTGCTTGACAACCACTGGCTCTGGAGTTTTGAACCGACCACTCGGTGTGTTACGTTGCAGACCCTGTTGCCATCCAGCCACAGTAAAGTGGAGCAGACACAGGTATTGATTATTGATTGTATTCAGATCACCTATGGGTTCTGAAATGGAACCATCTGGGTCACCCCAGAACCAGAATTGTGACTCTGTCTGTGTTTTCAAGGTAACACTGTCCGTCATCCAGCTTCCTGCCCTCAAAGGTGTGGAGTCTCTTGCCTGCGGCTTCGGACACCTCCCACCTCAGCCTGCTGTTGTCATGGGAACCAATGTCACCTGTCAATCTCCTGCACCAGAGCTCCTCCCAGCCCTGCCAACAGAAAGTGGTGAGAAGGTAATGTTTCTGCAGGATTCATGTTCCTGATGTCCTGCTGACTGAGCCATGTCTCTGCAGATCACATGGTCCTGCCGGTGTCTCTGATGTTTGGTCATGTGACCATCGCCAGTGGAAACATGACCTTCTATGAGTGTGGAGCTGTGAGCCAGCTGAACCAGAATTCACAGTAAGACCTGCGGAGAAAGATCAAACTCTAAAACGTGTCTGACATTATTTCTATAATGCGAAAAAGATAATTTCAGAAAAGATTAGCTCTCCAACATGAGGACTACCTTTGTAAATAATCTAAGCTGGGACAGAGAAAGATCCTTATTTTGAAGAGTATCCTTTGCTTTATTTTGAAACAACAGGTTCAGTTTAACCACCTTATCGTGGTGGAGGAGTTTGTGCGCCTGAATGATCCTAGGAGCTATGCTGTTGGGGGCAATTATAATTGTCCCTGGTAGGGTCTCCCAAGGCAGATTGGTCCTAGGTGACAGGCCAGACAAAGAGCGATTCCGAAGATTTTTATGGACATGATACAACAAGGAACTCAGTGTCCCTTGCCCAGACGTGGATTACCGGGGCCCCACCCTGGAGCCAGGCCTGAGGGAGGGGCTCATCGGCGAGCGACTGGTGACCCGGTCTCTACCCATGGGGCTCAGTCGGGCTCAGCCCAAAGGAGCAGCATGGGTTTGCCTTCCTGTGGACCCACCACCTGCAGGAAGGGCCATAAAAGTCGGGTGCGTGAAGCCATGGGCAGTGACCGAAGGCAGGGACCTTGGCACTCTGACCCTGGCTTACCAAAGCTGGCTCTTGGGGCATGGAGCGTGACCTCTCTGGTGGGGAAGGAGCCTGAGCTTGTGCGTGAGGTTGAGCGGTACCGACTAGTTATAGTTGGGCTCACCTCAATGTACAGCATGGGCTCTGGAACCGATCTCCTTGAGAGGGGCTGGACCTTATTCCACTTTGAAGTTGCCCATGGTGAGAGGCGTTGAGCTGGTGTGGGTCTACTTGTAGCCCCCGACATGGTGCCTGGTTGTTGGAGTTTTCTCCGGTAGATGAGAGGGTGGCTTCCCTTCACCTTCAGGTGGGGGGACGGGCTCTGACTGTTGTCTGTGCCTATGCACCGAACGGCAGTTCAGAGTATCCGGCCTTCTTGGAGTCCTTGGCAGGGGTGCTGGAAGGTGCGCCAGCTGGGGACTCCGTTATTCTGCTGGGGGACTTCAATGCCCATGTGGGTAATGACAGTGTGACCTGGAGGGGCGTGATTGGGATGAACGGCCTCTCTGATCTGAACCTGAGCAGTGTTCTGTTGTTGGACTTCTGTGTTGGTCATAGTTTGTCCATCACAAACACCATGTTCGAACATAAGGGTGTCCATAAGTAGGGCTGAGTACCGAACCGAGGTTATTTTATAGCACCGACTAAACGGCATCGGTCGGTGTATGGATTGAAACATCACTCTTTTTTCGGAATCAAGTTTCAGTGTTGGCTGTAACGTGTCACGTGGTTTCAACACGCAGTCAGGTAAAACACCAGACATATGACGAAACAGGCTACGTGTTTACACCAAGAGCTGTATAGAACTGCCGTACCTAATCTATGTATAATATATGTCTATGGTGCTGGTGACGTCCACAGACAGGGTTCACGTGTGTAGCGTGTGTGTTGTCGAACGGCTTCAATTTATGAGCAGAAAGTTGCTCCGTGTTTTTCTGCAAGGAGAGAGAAGGACAGCAGCCCCCCCCCCCCCTCCTCTCAGCGTTAAAGTCAGTCTGTGAGTGTTAGAGAGCATGAACGGCCTGATTCATTATCTCCACAACCAGACTCCTCTTCATCAAAGAACTCCGAGGATGGAGCTGTGTCTGTGTTTCAGCTGGTAAGTTTACGTTTGTTAACGTTACTACAGCTTAATACATGAATCCCTGAGAGTTAAACTAGAATCCATCTAACGCTAACTTTAAGATGTTAGTGTGTACATTTATTTTATGGACATCTATGTAGCTAGCTAAATTCAGAAGCTAACTAAAGATTGACATTAACAGATAAAGCTTAGCTTGTAAAAATGTGCTCATCCATCTAGTCAGCTGCTTAAACAGTTCACTAATGTTTACTGTTTATGTTAATGTTTTCCTCACAGGAGGTTCTGACCCTGATGTGAGGAGGACAGACAAAAGAAAAGTGAGGTGGGGGCCACAGGACAGTCACAGACTTTGTTGTTAAACTTTGCTGCTTTTAGCTACAGCGGAGGCTGCATGGTGGAGGTAAGTAAACTTTAAAGGATGTTGTTGACCAGTTAAACTTGTATTTCTCAGCCTAGATAATGTTTTTTGAGCAATAAGAACACAACCATGTTATTTTTGATGTTTTGTGTTCTCATGTCAATTAGGGAGATGATCAGAGCCGTAAACCCCAGAGAACCACAGAGAAGATTCAGGAAGAGACAGAGAGGTACAGAAGTCTGCATCAATCTTAACCTCAGTGAATCCAGTGACCTGCTGGTGGAATGTGAGTGACAATATGTCAGTGCTATCAGACTGACAACCAGGTATCTGTGTGTGCAACAAGCATCATCTACACCCTCAGAGTGAACATTTTCTACTGCTGGAGACACCATCAGCCAGGAGCGGGCTTGTTTGTGTCCAGAGAAAGAAGACATGTTGATTTTTCTGAAGAAAAACTGTTAAGTGAAAAGGTCCTCTGTGTGTAGCAGTGAGCATTAGACGCTGACGTGTCACTGGTTTGCAACTGTTCTTTTGACCTGGACATTATTTGTTTATTTTTATGTAAGAAAACTGCTTGGAATAGAAAACTACCTGAGTTAAAAATAAAACTCACGATTTGTACTGTAATGTGTAACATAATTTTATTTTTGTTAGAATTAATATTAATTACAAATTGGTACAGAAAAAAGAACCGTCCAGGAACCAACACCGAAGTGAAGATACTGACACCGGTACGATAACGTTTTTTTTAGAAAGGTACCCAGCCCTATCCATAAGTGCACTTGGCACCAGGACACCCTAGGTCATAGATCAATGATTGACCATAGTCGTATCATCTGATTTGTGACCGTTTGTTTTGGACACTCGGGTGAAGAGAGGAGCTGAGCTGTCAACTGATCATCACCTGGTAGTGAGTTGAATCAGATGGCGGGGGAAGATGCCGGACAGACCTGGTAGACCCAAATGTGTAGTGAAGGTTTGCTGGGAACGCCTGGCAGAAGAATCCGTCAGAGAGATCTTCAACTTGCACCTCCGGGAGAGCTTTAACCGCATCCCAGCTGAGGTGGGGGACATTGAGTCTGAGTGGGCCATGTTCTGCACCTCACTTGTTGAGGTGGCTGCCTTGAGCTGTGGCTGCAAGGTTGTCGGTGCTTGTCGTGGTGGCCATCCATGAACTCGGTGGTGGACACCCTTGGTTAGGGAGGCTGTCAAGCTGAAGAAGGAGTCCTATCAGTCCTTGTTGGCCAGTGGGACTCTAGAGACAGCTGAGGAGTACCGGAGGGCCAAGCAATCCGCAGCCTTGGCTGTTGCTGAGACAAAAGTTCGGATGTGGGAGGAGTTCGGTGAGACCTTGGATAATGACTCTCTGTCGGCTGACGAGGGGAAAGCAGCACTTTACTAACACTGTATTCAGTGAAGGTGGGCAGCTGTTGACCTCAACCAGTGATGTCGTCAGGAGGTGGAAGGAATATTTCTTGGACCTTTTCAATCCCACTAGCACATCTTCCACGGAGGAAGCTGAGTGGGGGGACTTTAGGGTTGATCCATCCATAACTGTGGCTGAAGTCACCGAGGTAGTTAAAACACTCAGAGGCGGCAGGTCTCTGAGAGTGGATGAGATTCAACTTGATTTCCTTAAGGCTCTGGATGTTGTGGGGCTGTCTTGGTTGACACGCCTTTGCACCGTTGCGTGGACATCGGGGACAGTGCCACTGGATTGGCAGACTGGGGTGATGGCTCCCCTTTTCAAAAAGGATGACTGGAGGGTGTGTTCCAATTATAGGGGCATCACTCTCCTCAGCCTCCCTGGTTAGGTCTATTCAGGGGTTCTGGAGAAGCGAGTCTGATCATTGGTCGAATCTCAGATCCAGGAGGAACAATGTGGGTTCCGTCCTGGCCGTTGGACACTGGATCAGCTCTTTACCCTCACTAGGGTCCTCGAGGGGTCATGGCAGTTTGCCCATCCAGTCTACATGTGTTTTGTGGATTTGGAGAAGGCATTTGACCGTGTTCCTCGGGGTACACTGTGGTGGGCGCTCTGTGAGTATGGGATTGGGGCCCATTGCTACAGGCTGTTCAGTCCCTATACAAGCGATACGAGAGCTTGGTTCGCATTGTCGGCAGTAAGTCGGACCCCTTCAGGGTGGGAGTTGGACTCCACCAGGGCTGCTGGTTGTCACCGATTCTGTTCATATCTAAAAAAGTTAAATCTGGTCCTCTGGACATGAAAAAAAAAAAAGCAAAACAAGAAAAAAATGTAGAAACGTTTCGTCTCTCATCCGAGAGACTTCCTCAGTCTGAGGTGCTGTATTCAGCTCAGTCTCTTAAATAGCACCTTCTCAGAGTGGATCAACCAGTTTTGCTGCTGACAACCAAAACCAGCTGATCACATGCTCAAGAAGGACCATCAGCCCCCGCAACCCGACTTCGGAACAAGCGGAAGATAATGGATGGATGGATGGATGGATGGATGGATGGATGGAGGTTCAAGTTGATCTAAAACAAAAGTCATCATGAAACACTGAATCAAAACATTCAGTTCAGTTCAGTTTATTTACATAGCGCCCTATCATAAAAGTTGTCTAAGGCCACTTTACAGGAGCATTCACATCCATAGAAAAGACAATTTGTAAAGTTCTCTATCTAAGGAATAATAATAATAATAATAATTTTAGTTCCACAGAGGCAGAGCTTAAATGGGGGGTTCCGCAGGGGTCCATCCTGGGTCCCCTCCTATTCTCTTTATACCTGCTGCCGCTTGGGGCTATTTTCCGGAAACACAACATGCCCTTCCACTTCTATGCCGATGACTGTCAAATTTACTTCCCCCTAAGACACAATGGTACATGCTCTATTCAACTGCTGCTCAACTGCCTGGCTGACATCAGGGACTGGATGGCTTTAAACTTCTTAAGTTTCAATGAAAAGAAGTCTGAAGTCATGTTGTTCCCTCCCAAAGACACGATCACAAACCACTGCATTGACCTTTCCGCTCTAACCCTGTCAGAAAAACAGTCACTAATCTGGGTGTGATAATGGACCTTTCCCTGAAGCTTAACAATCATGTAAACATGATTGTTAAATCATGCTTCTTCCAACTGAGGCGGCTGTCTAAACTGAAGCCCATATTGTCCAAAAAGAACCTGGAGACAGTAATACCTGCATTCATTACATCTAGGCTTGATTACTGCAATTCACTCCTGTTTGGTATCAGTCAGACCTCCATTGCACGACTACAACTGGTCCAGAATGCAGCAGTCCGATTTTTAACCAGTACAGGCAAAAGAGAGCACATTACACCAGTTTTTGCCTCCCTGCACTGGCTACTGGTTCACCTTTGAATCCAGTTCAAAATACTCCTGTATGTTTTTAAATAACTGAACAGTTCTGCCCCCTCCTATCTTGCTGATCTTCTGCAGCCATATGTCCCACCACGTTCCCTGAGATCAGCGGACCAATTGCTTCTCTCAGTTTCAGGAACTCGTCTTAAGCGCAGAGGTGACAGGGCCTTCTCTGTAGCAGGACCAAGACTCTGGAACGAGTTACCTCTGCTTCTCAGGCAGGCTCCCTCCCTCACAGTTTTTAAATCCCGCCTAAAACCCCACTATTATTCCCTGGCTTTCAACACTGTATGATCTGTGTTGAACCTGTATGTATCACACTGTCTTGGTCATTATGTTATTATGCTATTATTTTGTTTCTATATTTTGATTTTATGTTATGTGTTGCTGTGCGCTCTGCCTGTTTGTTTCTGTTTGTGCAGCACTTTGGTTGGCCCTGTCACTGTTTAAAGTGCTTTATAAATAAAATGGTATGGTATGGTATGGTATGATTATGATAATTGTAGTGATGATGATGGTGATGAAGATGATGATGATGATTATGATGATAATGATGGTGATCATGATGAAGACGATGTGTATCTTTCAGGTGTTTGGCTTGTGTCAGCTCTGTCTGGAGGTGTAACTGGTGTCCTCAGGATCAACTCTGTACCCACAACCACAGCTGTCCCAACAAGCACATCATCCTGAACCAGAGAGTGAGACAGCTGTCCGTCTACCTCTCTGTCTGTCTGTCTGTCTGTCTGTCTGTCTATCTGATTCAGCATTGTGGTCTGTCTGCAGGACTCTCCTGATCCCACTTCCTGTCCTTTGGTTTTCGCTTTGAGAAGTTCTGCCTTAGTGCCCTTGAGCCTGAGCACCACTGTGGTGCTGGAAGGGAGAAACCTGGACGTCTACACGGTTAGACTGAGTTTGCTTTCCCTGTTTTGGATCAGACTTGAATGTTTCAGGACCACCAGGACCATCAGGTCCCAACCTGAGCCTTGGCTCAGGTGTAGACAGGTTTAGCTCGGATAGAGCCCGGTTGTAGTCTGAGTGTGGCTCTAGTATAGACCAGAGTTACCTGGTGCTGGCCTGGTGGTCCTGGGGTGTAGCCTTGTAGTAGCTCAGGTGTAGCCCTGCCCTCTCTGCTCCACCTGCACCTGTTTGTTTCTGCAGGATGAGGGGCGGTACCTGTGTGTCATTAAAATCAAGGAGATGCTGTTCAACCTGACGGCTGCTGTGGAGAGAACAGAGAACAACACACACCTGTTTACCTGCACCTCCACCCAGGTACTACACACACACACACACACACACACACACACACACACATGTTGTGAAATGTGTATGACCTGCTTTTCCTGGCAGTGGGTGAAAGCGTAATATTGTGTGTGTTAGTAAAATATGTCACAGTAGACAAATTTGATCAGTGTTCATAAGTCCAACATGTACATTGTGTTTTGGAGAAAACTGCATGCAAGATGGCTGCCACAGCTAATCAATGTTAACCAGTAGCACCGTGGTTTGAACTCCGTCAGACAATCTGGGGTGTGGAAGTACCTGAGAGTCATACCTAACACGTCTGTGTTCTGACTGATCAGCTGTTGTGTTCGATCCCTGGTGGGTGACGTGCATCACTCCAAGGAATGTTGTGTTTTAGGGACATCAACTGACCTTGGATGACCTTGAAGCTGTTTGTGTTGTTAGTTTCAGGTTGCGGTCACTCAGCTGCAGCTTTCAGCTCCTGTTTACCTGCTCAGAGGACACGTCCGTATCGACGCCTCACCTGGACTCACACGTAAGAGACACACCTGAGCATGCATGTGTGTGAGTGTTTACAGTATGACCTGATTCCAGATGTTTTGACCTAACTGAACATCTGTCTTCGTGTTGACCACATTTAGCTGTAGACCCTTTGAAGACACTATGAAGAACTGTCAGAGTCCAGTTTCAAAGTTTAGCTAGAGCCAGAACTGGGTCAGTACTTTCTGTTTCTCATCAACATTTTAGTCCAGCTGTATGACTGCTCAGCCGGCCAATCAGATTGCTCCCAGTGCAGTGCAGTGCCGCAGCAGTACGGTTGTGTGTGGTGTCCAGGAAGCCCCAACCCTCGCTGTGTTTACAGCCAATCATGTTCTGATGTACCTGCAGAGACCTGTCCGTCTCCTAAGATCACAGAGGTGAGTCGACCGTTTCATCTGCCTGCAAGGGACCTGTCACCATGACAACCTGGAACCTGTCTGTTTGCAGGTGCTGCCTGTCTCTGGGCCTCTGGAGGGTGGAGTTCTACTGACAATCTCTGGGTCAAACCTGGGCACCAAGTACCAGGACGTGGTGGGCGGAGTTATGGTAGCAGGTGTTCCATGTGAGCCTCACCCTGAAGAATATCAAGTCTCCACCAGGTACCATCGCTGAACTGAATGACTGGATAACAAACAGTAACAGACTTCCTGTTTCAGCAGAGCTCACCTGCTGACAGTGATAGGTAAACTCTCCAGATAACACATATGAGGTTTGAAGGATTCCACCTGTTACTTTGCATAACTTTAATTTAGGACTGTTTTACCTTTTTCTCACTTGTGTGTTTCCTGTGTCTTACCTGTGTGTTACATGTGTCTCACCTGTGTGTTATATGTGTCTCACCTGTGTGTTACCTGTGTGTAACATGTGTCTCACCTGTGTGTTACCTGTGTCTCACCTGTGTGTTACATGTGTCTCACCTGTGTGTTTCCTGTGTCTCACCTGTGTGTTTCCTGTGTCTCACCTGTGTGTTACATGTGTCTCACCTGTGTGTTATATGTGTCTCACCTGTGTGTTACCTGTGTGTAACATGTGTCTCACCTGTGTGTTACCTGTGTCTCACCTGTATGTTACATGTGTCTCACCTGTGTGTTTCCTGTGTCTTACCTGTGTGTTACATGTGTGTTACATGTGTGTCACCTGTGTGTTATCCATGTGTAACGTGTCTCACCTGTGTGCCACCTGTGTGTTACATGTGTATAATCTGTGTGTTACATGTGTCTCACCTGTGTGTTACCTGTGTGTTACATGTGTCTCACCTGTGTGTTACATGTGTCTCACC